CAGCCATGGGTCTGTCAAGAATGCTCAAGCTATGTTACATAATACAACATGCCTGCTCACAGGGGGAAAACTGGGAAATAACTTATGTGTACTTCTTGATTTCATCGTACAAGACAAGCACAAAAGCACCACCCATGCCTCTGAGAACGTTGGACCATGCACCCTTGAAAAAAGCTTTGCCTCCTTCGTCATGAGCAATCTTCCTCCAGCAGTCAAGTGTGCCTGTGTACGTGATATCAGTTCCTTTGCGCCCTGACTGCATTATCATGCGGCGACGGACAGTGTCAAATGGATAGGAAGTCAACCCAGCAACAGCAGTGACAGACTGTGCAATCATCCAGCTGATGATGATGTGAGTATTCTTGGGATCTGGAAGCATTCCTTTTGCAGTATCATAGATACCGAAGTAGGCAGTTCGGTAGATGATAATACCCTGCACAGACACGTTAAAGCCTTGGTACAGGCCCTTAATCCCATCAGATTTGTAGATCTTAACCAGGCAGTCACGGAGGCCTCTGAATTCCCTTTCAGCTCCGGCTTTACCCACATCAGTTGCTAGACAGGTACGGGCAAAATCAAGAGGGTACACAAAACACAAGGATGTGGCCCCAGCGGCACCGCCTGACGCCAGATTCCCTGCAAAGTAGCGCCAAAACTGGGTCCTCTTGTCCACACCACCCAGGAAGATCTGCTTGTATTTATCTTTGAAGGCAAAGTTGAGCGCCTGGGTGGGGAAGTATCTGATGACATTAGCCAGGTTACCACGCCAGAAGGACAGGACTCCCTGCTCCTTGGGGATATGGACCACACAGTCTATAATGCCCTTGTATTGCTTATCTGCAGTGATTTGTTTGCTGGCATGCTGCACCTGCAGCAGCAGCTTGACCCGCTCGATGGGCGCTACCGCAGTCTTGGAGATGGCCACGGCCACTCCACCTGCCAGGAAGTCCTTGGCGAAGGACACAGGGGCATCTGTCATGTTGAAAGGAAAGAGGAGGCAGGCGACTGCAAGACGGGACTAGGCTGGGAACCAGCTTTGACTCCGGGGCTCTGGCTACAACAAATCTTTAACTACTATCTGTTGAGTTTTGGTGTAGTAACAGGGAAGAATATTCACAATCATCTGAAAAGACTATTAAAGTACTCTTCCGAGCCAGGCTCGGTGCTCAGCCTGCAATCCTTCGCCTTTGGGAGGCTGTGAGTGGATTGCCTGAGCCCACGGGTTCGAGACCCGCCTGGGCGAGGCGAGACCTCATTTTTACAATAAAAAAAAAAAAA